ATGGTCCCACCACCGCCACTGCCTGCGGTGACGACAGTCTCGCCAATACGTTTACGTGTTTCTAAAAAAGTAGACTGGATATACAATGGGTATATCAAAGGGAACTATTAACTTGCCTTCCAGAGCCCTCTTTTTACGTTTTGCAACGGCACGGATGTACAACATGAAGAAAATGAATATTATAACAACAGAGACGATGGCAAGTGCAACCGTGATCTCTCTGAATTGACGTTCATGGGCGGAGGTTATTGAGCGGTGCAACTTTTGATGGTCCTTCAATCTTTTTTCTTGTTGAAATTAAAACTCGGGTAATTTGGGCTATAACAGACAAAAAATTAGTTGCAGCAATGGAGGGTGTGACTTCTACAAGACTTTTTAGAGAAATAGCGGACTTTGTATTCTAATTCCCACGGTCGCAGGTCAAGGAACGGGGCCTTGAGTTCGCGAAAATTACTGTAACCACCTACTGGAAATTCGAATTACATCCGGGTGAAGTGGGCACGGCGCACCACTGGGTACAGCATCTCTTACTATTATAGCAGATTGATTGTTAAAGATGGAATAAAACTTACATCATTTGCTTGTCATTGCTCGTATTCACTTCTTCATCTTCAAGGACCCTAGAAATAATTCATATCATTGGTAAGGTTGTTATATTATCAATAGCAAACAACAGGAAGTTTAGAGGCGAAAAGCTTGACCAGAAAATTGTTCTCGGCAACATTGTTAAGCCTGACTGGTTATTCATTGCTACAGAAGGTCAGGTTACAAAGAATCTACCATGTCGAAGAACCATTAAGTAATACAGCTTCCATCGAGTTCTGCTGCTTTTTAAGATAGCATCTTAATGCCCACGAATCTGTGGCCCTTCTACCTTTTGATGCCTCTTTGTGTAAACGTTTTTAAACTGAAGTCTTCGCATTTTATCGAGCAGTGGTGATTCCATACACGGACCTCACACACCCATAGTCACAGGTTCGAGTTCCGGATCGACATCCGATTAGGCCAACCAAACTTACCATCTCTCCAGGGTCGGTTAGTTGGTACTGGACTCGTCTGGGAGTACGAAAGCCTCGACTTGTACATCGGCTGACCACCACATCTCTTGTATGGGCCACATATGCATTCAATACGCCACTACGATTCTGTATGGAAGTTGAATGCATGGGCGCATCCTTCGGCTGACCAGATTGATTCACGCCCCAAGATTTGATCCTTTATCCTTCAAATTATCGTACAGTCTGGTCAGATTATAATATCTGACCAGACTGACTGTTTTACTTTCACACGACTTGTGTCAGTCCCCATGTGTTTGTAAGCACCGAGGCTTTGCTATTAATACGAATGTGTGACGGCTGCTGCCTTCTAATGCCCTTATCAGTTCTTACCTCTTTCTGTCATAAACCATCGATTATTCATCCCGCCACATGTACTCTTTGCAAACTGGAACCCTCCTGTTTAGTGAAAAGAAATGATGTATTTTGTAGTCCCGGTGCTTCACCCATGACATCCTTTTACGAAGTATGCCTTCATCGCCACTTTATCGGTCGACCTCCTCACAACTCCGTCGAAGTTGTTCTTCTTTTCTTCCTTGCAGATTCCTTGAACAGGCTCGTCCTAAGACCCTGGGGTTCTATGCCTCATCAGTACAGCTCTAGTGGGAAACAGAAGCTCTCTGCCATAACAGCTCATCAGTACAGCTCTGGTGGGAAACAGAAGCTCTCTGCCATAACAACATACCGGATATTCACCCCTCCACTGGCCGTCCGCGTCCTGTTCCTTATCCTGATGACTTAGACTTTTCGCCGACTCACTTAGGTTATCATTCATTATCACGATTTATCAACTTCTGATGAGTCTGCAAGATTGCTGGCACAGTCAGTGCAGTTCTTATGCAGAGC